ATGTTTAAAAAATGGTGATTTTGATGTTTCTCTCAATAAGTTGGTATATTGTAATTTATTGTAATTTCAGCGACAGGTAAGAGCACTTGTGGCCGTCAAAGTGTCGAAATACGGGACTTTCTACTTTCGAAGTATTTTATTAGGTCACTGCTGTTAGATGTAATCCTTCCTCCGATACATATCAATTCGTGTAATTATTTTTACTATTTTAGATAATTGTTTTCTTGTAGAAAAATTACCAAATTTAAATTTTAACTATTTTTATAATATTCTACGAATTATTTTAAGCTGAAAGCTTATTTCTATGTAGATTCTTTTTCACTATACGTAAATTTCAATTTGGTAAAATGCACAAATATATTTTATTGAAAAATGTACTATTTTATAAAAAAAATTACTTGAAAAACTATTTTAATATTTTCATTGATATTACCATCATAATTTTATAAACATTTTTCGTAAAAAAATGAAAGTGCTTCGTATTCAGCGTGTTACAGTTAACTATTTCTATCCTCTTAATTTCGTTTAATTGTTTTCGTTAATTATTACAAGTTGCAATAAGTTACGATACGAAATCGAGCTTTAATTTGAATTGTTTCGTAAAACCTTTGTAAATTTCGCAAAGCAGATTTCTCCAAGCTGCATGTAAAAACAGTAACCTTTCAGGAAACGATGGAGAGAAATAAATCCTCGAGTGAACCTACCAGGGATACCGAATACGGAACGTGAGTATTGCACTCTTGCAACTGATTACTCCACTGTGCTACAATTCGTTTTTGCACTCTTGTTTCTAAATCAAATATCGATTGTATGCGTTCTTTTACTGTAAATAGATTTCTTTTTTTCTTTCTTCTACAATTACTTTAATACAGAATTTAAAGAATACTATGTAAATGCAACAGTAAAGGATATTATTAGATATCGCTATTGGTTTGAAATACACATATTTATTTACAAATTGTACATTTACCAATTTTAAGATACATTAACGCTGATAATTTTCTAGTGTCAAATACGAAGATGAAGTCGTTTCATCTTGGAAGTTTTGGAAGCAACGAAGATACTTAGTTGCAGTTCTGGCATTTTTCGGGTTTTTTACGTCCTACATTCTTCGTGTGAATTTAAGCGTGGCTATTGTTGCGATGAACGCAGAGGTTCGCAAAGTTAGTGAAAACGGAACGGAATATTTTGTAAGTTGAGAAATTGTTACTTTACACAAAATTCACCTTTTATTATTTTTTATTGAAAATTTGTATTTGGCATGAGATAAAAAAGATTAATCACGATTTACCAATGATAAAAGTTGTAACACGCAATTCAGACGTGACTATTCTCGCGATAAATCGATTAGCAGATTAATGATATGATTTTACCAGTCTCAAGCGGTGTTTTTGTCAGCCTTACTTAATAATCTTACTTCAGTGCCTTGATTACAATATCAGAAATCTTATCGGAATTTTTGTACACGATATAATTAAGTGTACAAGAAGTGAATTATTTCTTACGTTGATATCAAATTATACGAAGTATTTCAACACTCGTGTCTTAAATAGAGATTCAATTAGATTATTTTAATTAAGATTAAAAATAAGAAAATTATTATACCTACAACGTAAAGCGGTGCCGCGTTAGCTGACCGGGATTTTTTGCCCTCGTGCCACGGTCAGCTAACGCAGCACTTCTTTATTTCAAATTAAAGCTCAGTAAGCGAAAGTGTTAACATTTACAAAACTAAATGTAAGCTTTTCTATAATACCATATAAAGTAGATGGATCGAATGCTAAGTTTGACCACTTTTAAATGCATTCAGAGTAATATTTACAGGAAAGAGAATTCGACTGGGATTCGAAAACACAAGGGTTGGTTTTAAGTTCCTTTTTTTACGGATACATAAGCACTCAATTGCTCGGCGGATGGCTTGCAGCGCGCATCGGCGGAAAAAGAGTTTTCGGTCTTGGAATCGCAACTACAGCTTTTCTCACAATTATAACACCACCCTTGGCCAGACTGAGCGTGTATATTCTGATAGCTTTACGGATAATAGAAGGAATTTGTGAGGTGGGAAATTATTTAAATTCAAATTTTATAAATTATTATATTTAATATAATTTATAATTACCATTTCAGAAGGATACTTTTAAATGTTAATAATTAGTGAAACAGATATTATAAATGCAATAATTTTGTTTCAGGGCGTAACGTATCCGTGCATACATGCAATATGGGCGCAATGGGCGCCTCCGTTGGAAAGATCAAAATTAGCGACTCTTGCATTCTCCGGAAGTTTCTTTGGGACCGTATTCGCCATGCCCGTTGCTGGTTTGATGGCCGAACACCTTGGTTGGTCGTCCGTTTTTTACGTTTTTGGAGCAGCTGGTCTTGTTTGGTTCTTTTATTGGTGGATAATCGTCAAGGATAAACCGGAGGACGATGCGTCTATTTCCGAAGCTGAACTTGAATACATA